TAGTCAAATAATGACTATAATCTTTTAAGAAAAAAAAAAAATCTTAAACGTTTAAAAATTTTGTACACCCAGACATGTGTTAGTTTGAATTTTACATCAAACATTTTAATCATCATCATGATTTTACCTTTGCGTACAAGAAGACTATATCAGTGAATTTCTCTGTTTCTAGCTTTTCCCCAAACACTTCACTGCAGCAAAAGTAAATGAGCAAATGGTGGCACAGGAGGTCTCAGGAGTGCGTTTGTTTAATGCTTGCTAAATTTTCTGACCAATGATTTGTTGTTAAGACCATTAAAAGATTAATATTTTGCCACTTTGGGCTTGGTCTTTTTTTTTTTTTTTTTCCCCAAGAATGTACAACAGCCAAATGATCTAAACCAAAACTGGATTGTAATGGCTCACTACTTCCTACATAGGTGCACTTCATTTAGCATGAAATTGGCTAACCCTAGGTAGTGTACTACTGGATAGGAGTGTAAACCTCAGGGATCCACACAATATGATGCTATTTCGATTCTTAAGGAAATGATTTGATATTTGATGATACTTCTACGATTCCACATGATACAATTTTGTAGAGTCTGGGCTAGGCCTACCATTAATACACAAATGTACGGAAGGACTATTTTAAAAGAATTATGGGCAAATCTGGGCAGATTGCCAATAAATAGGCAGAATATTACTGTACACATTACAATAATGAGCCTAAAATAATGAATAGTTGGATTATGTTCAGAAAATAAATCTGTAATGAGGGGGTCTGTGAAATGAATTTTACAGTTAAGCGGTCCTTTGCTGCAAAAAGTTTGAGAACCCCTGATATCAGGCCAGGTCATATCATAACCCCTGATTTAAACAGATGTGCTGGCACTTAGGCTGGATTTTGACCTCATGAACAATTTGGGATCTGTCACCCAATGCCACCCATTTTTATTTTTTTTAAAGTGTAGAAAGTTTTTCGTAAAAGAAATAGTGGATAAGAGGAAGCTACATACACTCACTGCTTGAAAGTGACTGATTGAATAGAATTGATTGACGTTGGAAACAAATGTTCAAAGGTAAATTTCCATCTGCTGAATTATTTAACTTTTTTTAATTTATATTTTATTTTAAGTAATATTATTTTAAATATTTTTATAATGAAAAACATTTTGATTTAAATGTACAATGTAATAACGTACAATATTGTCATTTTATTCTACATACAGCCAGTGTATGTTTACATCTATAAAACTTATATTACAGCTATAAAACTATTCCTCAATGATATATTTATTAATGAATATTCATGAATTCAGCTTCGTGAGTAGAGTGTGGGCTATGGCATGTAAAATGTCCAATTTCACTATTCATCAGAAACATCTATCATGCTAACATATTTTAAACCTTACAATATATTTTTCACTTAGGTTTTTTTTTCTCTTCAAATTACTGTGTTGCTTTTCATGACTGTGATATATATATATATATATATATATATATATATATATATATATAAAATTTTAAAAATACCTCAATAGTGAAAAGGTTGGATGGCAACAAACTCACTAACCTTTAGTAGTGGTTGACCATATAGTGCTACATACCAGGGGTTTCACAATTTTAAAAAAAAGACTATGGTAAAATGTCTGAGACTTATGGATTGTAACAGGCTGCTATATTGTGTCTCAGAACTTGAGAGCCAGACACCTGAGATGTCTTGATAACCCAGAGAAAAGTCCATATCAAATAATTTCTCTCATGCCATTCACATGAGCTATTTAAAAAAAAACCTAGAATAAAATTTTTCTATTGATTAATAAATTTGAAAATTTCATCTTATTGATTATTTTGGCAGGGTGCTACACCCGATCTCATACGTGATTAGCAAATTTGGGAGATGCTTTTTGAATGAGGAGAATATGGCAAAAGAAATAATCATTTTCCATCATTTTTTTCCAGAGCTGGTACAGTCTTGTGTAAGTGATTGAAGTGTATTAGTGTTTAACTGCCATCTACAGGCCTGAGAACATTACTACTTTACGGTGGAACTGAAAATCCGGAAAGAAACTGGCAAATAAGAGATGGAAGTGATCTTCAAGATGACAACGACTGTATGCCAAGTCATGAAAGTTTTCGCCTTGAAAATCTGTTTCTGTGGTTATTAAACACATGCATAGTTCTTCAAAATAAAGTCAAACTACACTTCACGTTACATCACTTACAAATAGAAACGTAACAAAACAAACACACACACAAAAAAAACCTCAATGGCTTCATATTGTATGGTCTAGGTCAGGGGCTCTGACCAAATTCTGACCAGGCCACATCAGACCAAGCCAAGTCATATCATTTTTAGGAGCCTTTGAAGGAGCCATAAACGAAGGCTATTAAATGTATTATCTATTCTCACTTACACTCACTTTCAGTACCTGCTTATCCTGGTCAGGGTTGCGGTGGATCCAGAGCCTGTCCTGGGAACACTGGGCATGAAGCGGGGATACACCCTGTATGGGAAGTCAGACCACTGCCAGGCTCAAAGTGATGGCGCGCGCACACACACATTCACAACTAGGGGCAAATGACCTTCGCCAATACACCTACTTACATGTTTTGGGGAGGTGGGAGGAAACCAAAGAACCCACTAGAAACCCACACGGACAAGAGAAGAACATGCACAGAAACTCCAAACTCCAAAGGTTGGTGTGGAAGAATTCGAGTGGCCTGCACAGACCCCTGACCTGGCCTGAACACCTTTGGGATGAATTGGCTGACCGTGCCGTGACCGACTGCGCCCCAGGCCTCCTCGCCCGATATCAGTGTCCAACCTCTTGTGCTCTTGTGACTGAATGGGCACAGATCCCCATAGCAATACTCCAAAATCTAGAAGAAAGCCTTCTCAGAAAAGTGGAGGTTATTATAACAGCACAGGGGGAACTAAATCTGGAAAGGGATGTTCAAGACCACAAACTTTTGGCCATGAAGTGTAGTACTGTCTGGACGACATGGATGAATGTGTCTTTGCATTGCTGCTGTAAACAGAGATAAAATAAAGTAAAGAATATTTTAACTTCACAAGTCTATCACCCTTATGTATCACTAAGTTTATGAACTAAGTTTACGAGAGTAACCTGCTTGAATTAGAAGATAATTAATTTACAAACCTTTAATTCATGTTTGTCAGGTTCGTTCATGTCTTGCATTGTAGACAGACACATTGCGTGCAGTGGACTAAGGGCATGCATGTTCTTAGAGTACAAGCTCATGTGAGTTATTAAATCTCTTTCTGTTATATATTCTGGATTTTTGTAAAGTATTAGTGGTTGCTTGACTGTTAATTTTCCATAGTTAAAACAAAAACTGATGAGTGCAGTACACTTCATTCAAAGTGATATCAAAGTTAATCATGTTCCATTTAAACAAAAGAAAATGTCAAATAATTCCATAGTGTAGTCTTTACTAGGAAACCTTACTGTAGTCAGGGTCACAATGTACAGTTGACTGTAGAATCTAGTCTGAAATATTACATTTAGACTGCTTCTTACGGCATCTGCCTGCAGTGTGGCCCAGTGTGTGCT